TTTCAGGTTGGTCACAATTCAGTCCCAACAGTTTGGGACTCTGGATTTTGTTACTTGCTTTTTTGAAGTGCAAGATGTGTGCTGGCAGGGCAGTGTAGCTTGCATATCAGATTGATCCTTTCAAGGCTTACTGTTAAGCTCTGTTAGTGTAATTCTAAATATCCTTTATCCAGACGTAAATTACTTTTCGCTGCTGACTTTGTTCCCCTGCCAGGTCTCCACTGAATGTCCACATGATCAGTGGGGCCTTTCCACTCTGCCTGCTGAGCACTCCCACCCCGTGTGGACTCTGGGAATTACTTAGTTTTTTGGTCTGTAGTAACTGTTCTTTCCGCAAAAGCTGTTCGTGCTGAGACTTGTAGACTTTGCCCTATGCACGTCTGCACTGGGCTCAAGGAGATCTCTGGACACTCCTGGAATCTTCCCTGTGTAACTCCCTCCCTGCCCTTACTCTGCCCCACATATGGTAGCCTCCTGGGTCCCCAGATTGTCCATGTCCTACTTGAGCATTTTGACAGACTGTGCCAGGGTTCCCCTCTGCTACAGTGGGGGTGCCAGGGATGCCCTTCGCTGCCCGCTTCCTCTGTGTCAGGAGTGCTGCCTGCTGTCTGGGGTCTGGATGCTGCAGATACTCCGTGTATTCAGTCCGATTCCTGCTTGTCAGTGGAGGTGAGGAAGTCCAGGCACTGTTCTTGCTAAGGATTGGAAGGAGTCTCTTCCTTAGAGGCTTGTGAAGCTATGGTGTGTAACAGGTTAATCACTCGTGTCTGAGGAGGTCTTTTTTGCTGTTTAACACATTAAGCAAAAACCAGTTATTAGAAGAGACACCTAAAACAGATTTCTTCCCTACCTGAATCTTAGGCTGACGAATCACAGGAAAGCACTGCTAGTCTCTGAGTCCCACCACCAAGGAACTGTCACAGTTGACAGACACCCTTTGGCGACTGTTTCCCAGGAGCTGGTGGCCCCAGAGGCAGGCACACTGCATTCATGAGTGTCTGAGAGGAAGCCGTGTCTTCCTGGACACCAGGGTCCACCTCTGGTTTTCCCTTAGCGGTTGAATGTGCTGTGAAGTATTAAGCTGCTTGTCCTGACTGGCTCGGTGTCAAAGCTGTGAGATGTCTGACGGGCCACTTTTAAGTTCTTGTCTCTCAATTGCAGGATCTGGACTGAAGAGGCCTCATTTATTTATTCAGTAACTATTCAGGATCGTGAGCTCGAGGTGAACAGGGACCCTGCCTCATGGGGCTCAGCCCTGCCATGAGCACTTCTCTCCCCAAAAACAGTGCCAAGTCACGTCAGCTGGGAGACGGAGGGTCCCAGGAGCCTCATGGGGTGGCGGGGTGACTGAGGCACTGGCAGGATGAGGGTCAGGCTTCAGCAGGGACTTCAGTGGTCCAGGAGGCCAAAGATCAAGCCCAGGAGTCTTGGGGAGGCCGAGCAGAAATGAACCCGGAGGGCAGAACCACGGAGAGCTCTGCAGGCAGTGCAGTCCCAAAGGCTGTGCGGGGCTTTTTCTGAAGCTCACAGGAGTGGTCACGTGGGGGTCACTGCACGGAAATCTGCTTCCGTAGACAGAAACCTCCAGGAAGACGCCTCAGAGAGCTCAGTAGAGAATCTGAGGCTTTTAAACAGAGAAGTAAAAAGTGCCATGGAAAGAAAGGAAAGCTTTGGCTGGCAGTGGCTGGCCCAGAGTGAGCCCGCCTTGTCCCTAGGGCGGCCGCTGCCCCAGACACCATTGTCCAGGCAGCTGCTGAACACGGAGGGTTGATTTCCCTGGGTGCTGGAGGCAGGGAAGTCCGAGGCCAGGGCCTGGCAGGTGTGGAGCTGGCTCGGCTCGCGTCCTGGCTCTCGGCCGCAGGAGACGAGTTTTCTCTGTGCGGCTCCTTTCACACAGGCGCTGATCCCATTTGCGGGGCTCTGCTGACCTCGACCACCCCCAGAAGGCCCCCGTGGTCGACACTAGCCCCTTGGGAAAGGATCTCAGCAGATGAGGAGTGCCAGCCCGACCCCTGCGTTGCCGCAGTCTGTTTGTGCTTTGATAAAGCAGCAGAGGCACTGAAGACCCAGCACCCTGGCAGAGTGACTGCACAGAGCCCCCGACCAGCCCGCCACCGCTGTCTGTCCCCTGCCAGGAACCCTTTGGAGCCGGGCCACTGGGACGCATGGCCTCAGTTACTCCTGACTCGGAAAGGTCCTCCGTGTCATCGTCGCCTCAGCACATGTGCTGCCGTGTCCTGGGTTCTGTTCAGCCTCGTTTCACCAGCTCATCACTGAATGGATGTTTATGGTTCTTCCTTAACATCTATGTGTGCCATTCGTTGTCCTGTTGTCCAGCTTCTGTTCCCAGAGCACTGGGGAGACCCCTTGGCCGGTTTATTAAAGGCCTCCCATTTCCGTCCTGTGAGTACCTGTCCTCCGGCAGCTGCTGCTCCTGGGCCTGTGTGTGTGACCACGTTGCCATGGTGGCCCCACCTTGCTGCCACTGTGCTGCTCCTGGGCCTGAGCGTGAGTCCCAGGGGCTCACACAGGGGCCTCCTCCCACAGTGCCACCATCTATCTGTCCAGCCCTGGCCCCAGCACCAGCCCTGCATCTCTCCACCTGTCTTCCCGGCCCCACCTGAGCTCTGCAGTGTTTGACTCGGATGCCCACTCACCCCGGATGAGACAGTCTCCCTGCCCTGCTGCTCCTGGCTCCTCAGCCCCTAAGGGCGTCCCTCCCCTGCTCACTTGCACTCAGAGGCTCAGCGTCATCCAGTCCCCAAGTCTCGCCTCTAGTTACCTAGCTAAGCCAGGCGTGGTGGCACAGGCCTCTAATTCCAGCACTCAGGAGGCAGACACAGGAAAATCACCTTGAGTTCAAGGCCAGCCTGAACTACATTTTGAGACTCAGTCTCAGGGTTGACTCGAGTTCTGAACAGAGTGGGCAAAGGAATGAGGAGCAGGAGATGGCAAGTGTGAGGAAAAGACGGCACTGAGAGGAGCAGAGATGGGCTGGGGAGAAGAGGCTGCAGAGTGTTGTAAACATAGAAGGGTGCGGGTCTGGTGGGAGGAAAGGTGACGGTTAAAAGACAAAGGAGGGCCTTTCCCAAGATGCTGAGGACCTAGCACCATCCTGACAGGTGACGCTTATCACCAGATGCTCATCCTTTCTGCTGAAGTATTTCAGGTTCAAGCACTCACCTGTAGGGGCTGGGGATTGAGCTCAGCACACCAGTGCTTGCCTGGCAAGTGCAAAGTCGTGAGTTCGATTCCCCAGGACCAAATAAAACCCCTAAAAATCTGTTTGCTAGGCACATTCCTGCAATCCCAGCACTCAGGAGGCTGAAGCAGGAAGATTGTTGTGAGTTCAAGAGCAGTCTGGGCTACAAAGCGAGCTCAAGGCCAGCCTGGACTGCACAGTGAGACCATCTCTTTAAAAAAAAAAAGAACTAGCCTGCAGAGTTACTGGCATTGCCGTGATGGGCCAGGATGAGGCATAGCTGTGTTCTTTGTACTAGTCTAAATCTCTGACCATTAGCCTGTTGTGGTTGGGAAAGTGAATTCTAGAAAATGCGTACAGTAGGCTGCCGCATGGCCTTGGAGAAGATCAGACTGTCCTGATGGGGAGTGAGTTCCCAGGCGCTGTGCTCCGAGCGGAAGCAAGCTGGAAGCTGGGCGTAAGCTGCACACTCTGGCTTGTGCACTGCCTCTCATGTTTTATGACAGGGCAGAAAGGAAAGGGGCGTCTCAGCATTTGTGTGTGCAGATCCAGGCTCCCTGGGAGGGCGTTGGGGAACCAGGCAGCTCCGAGACGGGCAGGGTCCCAGGCAGCTGGGGCGGCATCTCTCCTCTCAGATCTCCTTGATTCGTACAATGTATCTGTGTGTTGCTGTCCTTTGCATGCTTAAAAGATTGTATTGTTTTAACTCCAAACACTAAAAGAGATAATGCCATTTCTCTGCCAGCTGACTGAAGGCCAGGATGTGGTACCCGGGAAATACTTGGCTTCTCTAAAATGTCCATCAGTGGGTGCTCTGTGGTGATTTGGGTTTATTTTCTTTCACTCTGAAAGATTTCTGATTCGTGTTTGCTTCAGAAAACTTGACCGTTACCATTTTATTAAGAAAGCCTGCAGTAGTTTTGACATATTTCTTTCCTCTTTTCCCCATTCAGAAGCTCTGTACATTTATTACCGCGTTAGCTAATATTTAGACAGTTTCAACAGGCAGGAAGATTTGTCTTAATTCTTGAATTCTCAGTCTGGTGTATCTTGGTAATGCCAGTCCGGTTTTTATTATCCTGACAATGTTGGAGGGTGGCAATTTGTTTCAGTGGTCAAGCCCTCATGCAGGTTCCTCCCAGGACCCCCAAAATAAAAAAGGAGGTCACCTGTGTCATTGGCAAAGAGCTCGCTCATAACAGCGTTTTAGTGGGAGAGGAGGGCAGTTGTTGAACTATGCAAACACGTCTGATAAAGAACTGGGCCTTTGGTAGCCCTGCGAAGAGGGAGCGCTGGTTGTCTGGGCTCTCCACGCGGTGGCTGAGGGAGGCGGCGGCCCCAGGCCACCTTGTACGCCCGCAGGCACAGGCAGGTGGCCCGGGCTCTCTTCCATTCACAACAGAGAACTGGACTCTGGCAGAGGGGCTTCACTCTGCTGGTATTTCCTGGGTTTCCATTTTCCCTTCAGCTTCTCAGACCTCAGTCAGGCCCCAGCAGACACGTTCTCTCTTAGTTTCATCCTTCTGACCGCTCAGGTTTTGTAGCTTCCTCCCAGTAAGTGCCTCTCCACCTTGGTTTCTTAGGCCAGATCAGTGAGAGTGTGATCTCCTTGTCAGACACTGAAGGTAGACAAGTGCCTTTCAAGGCAGACTGCAGAAGGTTCTGGTTCTCCGCCTTCTGGCGCCCCGCTCTTCGGTCCCGGGTGTGTGGTGCGCCCCTGGCGCTGACTCCGAGGTGGCCTGGGGAGTGGCCTGGTGGTGGGATGTCACAGACCACTGTGATTTCACACTCTCGGCAGGTACATCTCCCTTCATGGACGCGCTCACAGCCAATGGAACCACCAACATACAGACATCTGTTACAGGAGTGGCAGCCGGGAAAAGGAAATTTATTGACGACAGAAGAGACCAGCCTTTTGACAAGCGGTTGCGTTTCAGTGTGAGGCAAACAGAGAGTGCCTACAGATACAGAGATATTGTCGTCAGGAAGCAGGATGGCTTCACCCACATCTTGCTGTCCACAAAGTCATCAGAGAATAACTCACTCAATCCAGAGGTGAGAGACTCTCCTTGGGCGATTTGTGCTTCTGCTTCTCCGCGCCCACTTTCCCGGCCGCTTTGCTGAGCTGGCGCCCGCCTTTGTGCTCTCTAACCCTTCTGGGCCGCTCGAGGCCCCGAGGAAGGTAGGAAGCAGAGGTGACATTAGCCCTCCGGCTACAGTGACAGGCAGTCGACGTGTGCCGATGTGCACTCCACTCTCCTGGATGTGGGCTCTGGTGGGACCCGTGGCTCTGTCCTTGTCATCTTCCAGGTCAGGAGTTCTTCATTTGCAAAGCGTGGGTCCCGGGGAGCCCGGGGCCTCGCTAGTCACCCGCGATGCGTGTGTGTGCACACGCGCAATGGCCTTCCTCTGCTTTGACGGGTTCTTTGTTCAGACCAGAGTAGCAGGTGCTGGGTCCCAACACCCCCTCTTCCTCATTGCAGCCACCAGGGAGGTCTGCACGTGTCACGAGTAGTCTCGGAAGGCCGCTTCCCAAGCCCAGGGGACGCGTGCTGGGGACGCTCAGGCTCGGTGCTGCAGGGTCTCTGGGAGCAGGCATGTCTGGGCCTGCCCTGCACCGCAGCAGAGCTCCCCGCTCCAGCTTGTTTTCTGCCTGTGAGCAGCGTGGGCGGGTTGACTCCAGACCACAGAGAGTCCGTGCCTGGCCAGGGTCACATAACAAACAGGGCAAGGCTGGGCCTGGGCACATCTTAGACTGTAGGATCTCTTTGCTGGTTATTTATGAAGGTTTCTTAGGGGCCATTTGAGCTGATCATAGGCCCTTCCCCAGTGACCTTCCCTGCTGATATCCTTGACTTTAGTGCACCTGTGTACCCAAACGTTTAGGCTCACACCCCAAATGTGGTAGGCCAATTTAAAAGGAAGAAAAAAACAGTGCCCGCATCCCACCCCACCCCCCAAATAAAACTTGCCCTCCTTCCTTTGAACTGGTTGAATGTGCCACCTGCTGTCCAAAATGCAGAAATACCTAGCGAGATGTTGCGTGACTTGTAGTGTCTGCTGAGATCACACGGGCAGTACTGACCCTTACGGAGACTCTGATGCCTGTGTCTCTAATTAGACTCCATGTACGACTCCATATGTAGCCATGTTTATACTCCATCCCCTGCACCCCGAAGGCAGTATAAGATGGCCGCAGAGGACGTCACGGGCTCCACCAGGCCGGGCAGCGTTTTCTGTAGATCCCGATCACCCGCAGGGGAATGCTCGTGCAAGCCTGTATCCTGAATGTTGTTTACCGCTTGAACCTGTGATGACTTTCAGGTCATGAAAGAAGTCCAGAGTGCTCTGAACACAGCCGCTGCCGACGACAGCAAGCTGGTGCTGCTCAGCGCGGTCGGCAGCGTCTTCTGCTGCGGTCTCGACTTTATTTATTTCATACGGCGTCTCACAGATGACCGGAAAAGAGAAAGCACTAAAATGGCCGAGGCGATCAGGTATGCAGCAGCGTGCGTGCGGCTTGTTGGCTCGGGTGTTTGGTTTTCACGTCCGGTCAGAGAGGATGCCAGAGAAGCCCGGAGGGTGAAACCGCACGTCATCTTTCTCTGAGCACTACTAGCGGCAAAGTTAGTTAGATCATCTGTCTTTGCTTTGGGCCCGGCATACATTACCACTCGTTGGGCAGAGAACCGGCTTCGGAGCCAGCTGGAAGCCTTGGGTGTGTGCGCAAGGCCTGGCGAGTAGACCCACTCGGGCACAGGGAGGCTGGGAGCGCTGTGTGCTCCAAGCCAGCGAGTTCTGCCCTCCACCCTCAAGCAGAGGTGCATTCTCTTCCCGACAGTAACTGGCCATTTGCTTAACTCCAAAATAAGCTGCCAAAGACAGTCTTGATGACAGTGCCCTGGGGTCGTGTGGAGAGAGTTTTCTTGCTAGCACAATCAGGGCACATTTGTGCTCAGGTTCCTCCTAAGTGCCAGTCATTCAGAAAACAAGATGACAGAGAGTAAAAAATAAAAGTCCTTTCCTCTTACACCCCACCCCATGGACTCCACCATTCGCCTTTGTCTTCTTCAACCTGTTGCTAGAGAACTTTATTCTGCCAGGCATGGTAGCACACCTACTGCAATCCCAGCACTTGAGAAACTGAGGCAGGAGGATGGCTAGGAGTTACCAGCCTGGGTTACATAGTGAGTTCAGAGGTACCCTGAACTACCTAGGGAGACCCCATCTCAAAAAAATAAATAGACCTTTAGTCTTAATTTTTTTATTTACTTTTGAAATGATTTAAAAGTTGCTTGTGGGAACACCAGGTATTGTGGCACACATCTCTAATCTCAGCACTCAGGAGACTGAGGCAGGAAGGTCAGCTCGAGTTCAAGGCCATCCTGAACTTCGTACTTAGTGAGACCCTGTCCCAAAAATCACCCCACCCCCACAAAATTGCTTATTCTTCCCGCCACAACTTTGTGCTTTGGAACTTGGGCATGCTGTGGAGTGGCTAAATCAAGCCAGAGCAGCTGCGCCCTAGTGTCCCCAAGGTGTGAACATGGAAACTTGCTCACACCGTGGTGGGTGACAGCCTTCCGATTGCAGCGTTTCCAGATGTGCATTTGCCATACACAGACAGTACAGATTCGTGTACAGTTCTGGGAAGTAAGTGGAACTGTGCTGTGTTGCTTTGCAACTTGGTATTTGCACGCAGTAGCGTGGCTTTGACACACTTCCACGCCCTCAGTGGTCGGATTCTCCAGGATCCTCACAGTTTGCACACCTTCCTTGCAGCCACTAATACTGCCGTGGCATACCCCTCAGTGTCCCGCTAGTCACTGTGTATAAAAACAACTGTCTAGTATTCCAGAGGCGAATTTTATTTCTAGTGAATGAAAGCAGGCACCAACCAGTAAGATCTGTATATCCTCACTCACCTTTCTAAAAGCACATATCCTTGATGACTCCTGAGAATCTTTCATGTTTCTCTTTTGAATTCATAGAGGATGAAAAATTAAAGACCTGCAGCTTTGCAGAATGTCAGTGAAGTGGGTCGGATCTTTCCCAAGACCCAGACCCTTGCTGAGTTGCACTTGTGGCTGGGTAGTTTTGGGGCTCTTAACAGCTGAGGCTCTGAGCACTGCCCTTGTGGCACTGGGCTCCCTGGTCCCTCCTAAACTGTAGAGGTACACAAGGACTGGTGTGCTCAGTTCTGCTGTCACGAGTCTGAGGTGTGACTAGGCCTCTCTCTCTCCTTGAAAGATCGAAGTCAGGCAGAGGAATCCTGGATCCCCGGGCTTTTTAGAGTTACTTTGACCTTTTGAAACATATTGATCACTTTCAAAGTTAATATATGTAAACACTTGTATCTGACACTTGTATCTATTACTCCCTAAAGTTGCTGAGCACTACCATTTTTAATGATAGTTATTTTTCAGAAATAGTTTGAAATTCTAATCTGGCCTTACTAAGTATTCTGGCCTCCTGAATAATGTCGCACTTGTGGTCTGGTAGGAGTAGGTGGCACCATCTTCATCGATTTGACATTAAACTGCCTTGGTTAAGCAGGTCAAGGTGCATCCTTTTCTGACGGTAGAGCCTTGCACCCAGCCGTAGCCGTTCTCACTGCTTAGCCATCCGTTCAGGACAAATTGTGTGACATAAGGTATGTTCTGAAACACAGACCGTCATGCCCCTGGTGGTAACTGTATTTTCCACTCAGTCACACAGCCGTGCTGTGCAGTTGGGCTCTTTGTCTCTCCCAAGCTCCCCTTGGAGGTCTCTTGGGTGCAAGGCTCGAGGTATCAGGGTTAGTGAAACAGAAAAGGTAGATCAGGACCGATTAAGCAGAGGCCTCCTTTTCTGAGCGTTCGGGTAACTTCAAATGTTTCCTCCTGTCAGCTGCCCACTCCCACTCTATTCCCTTGTTCCCCAGAAGCTGAGCTGGTTCTCATCAAGAGCCTGTGTTTCTTCTTTAAATGACTATATTTTTATCAGTGTGAACTTTGCGAAATATTCTCTGGCAGGATCAGAAAAATAATTAGTTACACCAGATTCACGTAACCTTTCTCATGCTTATTTACATTTAAATTAATTTTTACATGGGTCAGGTGGACTTACACGCAAAAGCTTTTCCCCACGTATATTTCTTTTGTTTCAGCAGCGTATTGTCTCCAATTCCTTAGAACTTTGAGGCAAAAGACCTCATCATAACAAGTTCCAATAGAAAACTGGGGAAGAGGAAGATTGGACTAAGCCTGAGATTGTCAGCTATCTAGGGCATCTAGTTCCCGTGATCAGAATTTGGTGATAACTAGTTTGCAGATTGTAGTGCAATATTCAGCATGTGATAGAAACACTGTTAGCATCACTGTTTTTCTTGAGTTTAGATTTAAATATACCCAGCAAAAACCATGGCCCAGTCTTCCTTCCCTGTGTACCAGGGCAGGACTTGCAGTTCACTTACTGCGCTGGGAAGTTTTTGTGGCCCTGAGGAGTTAACACCCAGCAGAGTATTTCCAGGGGATGGTGGAGGAGGTGGTGGTGGGGATGGTGGTGGTGGAGGTTAAACATGAAAAGATTTTGTATGTGAGCCACATCTTCTGCCACGTCAGCGCTTTCCCATCAAAAGGCCACTTCCCCCTGGAAGGATCAGGGAGCCCTTCGCTCTTGGGGGTGCTAGTGAAATCTTGCCCGCCCCCCAGGAAGAGGCACAGATCCAGTCAAAGTTATCATCCAAGCAAAAAGTAAAATTTCTCTAGCCGTAGTGTGGGAAGAGAACGGTATTGCATGAAGTGGCTACACTGGTTCTGACCATTCTTTCCATGTGCACACACAGCATTGGGCTCTGCGGGAGGTTCCTCAAGAGAAGCCACTCCTAGCACCTGGGAGACAAACTGGGGAAGCGTCTGCTCCACCTCTGAGAAGGCCTCAGTAACTGCTCAGGAGGTGGCTCTGCACCCCTGTCATTGGGGCACGCACCCTGGCTGGCTTCGCTGGGCCTCCAGACTGTTTCCAGAGCCCCAGAGGCGTCTGTGCTTTGTCTCATTAAACCCAGCGTGACTCTGTATTAGTGCCTGGGGTTCTCTGGAAAGCCTCCCTATAACTCAGGCTGTGGTTGGGCTCAGCCTCGCTGCAAAGATAAAACCTTGGGGTGGCAGAACTCTGCCCCCTGCTGTCCCCTCTGTCCACACCCCACCCCACCCGACCCCCACTCCCCTTCTGGCCATCCTGCCTCCGCGCGCACGTCCTGCCCTGCTAAGGTGGGGGTGATGGCATTGTCTGGGGTGCAGAGTCACGGCTTTTCGAGATCTGAGCCCTGGCGGTCAGGTTGCTGTGGTGTGGACAGCACCTGGCTGGCTCTTTGCAAGCGCTCACAAGTGGCTCAGGTTTAGAATCTTGCCAGCAAAAAGCACTATTTACCCTGCAGCTCTGCTGCAGAACTTCGGAATGTCTGGAAGGGACGGACCTCTGTCTGTGGGGTGTGTTTGCCCTTTCCTCACGGTGCTCAGTCCTAGGAACCTCCTCTGAGCACACAGAACGGGAGCGCCCTGCCTTGAGAAGCAGCCTCCTGCCTCCCCCACCCCACACAGGCTGCCTGCCGGGCCTTGTGGGTCCCCCTGAGCTTCCACTATGGGAAGAGGGGGACCAGCACGTAGTGGGCGCCCTGGAGGGCAGGCGTGGCCTCTGCTGCTCACTGACCTTGGCCAGTCTTACCCTGCAATGACCTTTCTCTGTGCTCCCCAGGTCACCGAGTCACACTCAAGAAATACCCATTTCCACAAATAACTATACCAAAGCCAGACCCTGTCCCCTGTACTTCCCTCAAGACCAGGCCGCCCCAGCATGCCCCAGCCAGAGGTCTCCTGGCATGTTCCCTTTATGGATGGATCACGCAAAGCCCAGAGTGCCAGGGCGTTGGGCAGGGGAGGGCTAAGGAGCGAGACGCGCAGGTAGGAAAGCGCAGGTGCCAACTGCGGGCTCAGGCGCGGTCCGCTGCGGTCCCCACCACCTGGGCGGGAGCCACGCATGCGCAGTGTCCAGGCTGCGGGACGCCCCAAATCCACAGCTGCAGCTTCCGGGAGGGACTTAGGCGCCAGCTGTTTATGATTCCCAGAGTCTGTGTCTTGGTACACTGAGGTCCATCGTCTTTTTTTTTTTTCATCTGCTCAAATATACAATGTTTTGAGTAATTTCCCATTTATTTTTCATTTTAGAAACTTCGTGAATACTTTCATTCAGTTTAAGAAGCCTATTATTGTAGCAGTAAATGGCCCGGCCATTGGACTCGGAGCGTCCATATTGCCTCTTTGCGATGTGGTCTGGGCTAATGAAAAGGCTTGGTTTCAGACACCCTATACTACCTTCGGACAGAGTCCAGATGGCTGCTCTACCGTTATGTTCCCCAGGATTATGGGAGGCGCATCTGTGAGTACCTTTTAAAAAATCCTTGTAGAAAACGTGCTGCACAAGTCTAATCTGGATGTCTTTCTCAGCGTGTACCGGGAGTCACCGTGTGAGAACTCCCCTTCAGATACACTTGCAGTTGGGGTTTTGGTTCATGCAGCCTGTGATTGTGTCCAGCGTCGTTCCCTTAGGAGGGTCCCGTTCATCAGCGATTAACGCTGGTACCCAGTGTCAGTGAGGACCCAGTTTGAAACCCGAACAGTGGAGTTCGAGGTGGGAAAGTTCTTTACCTAACAACCTAAAAGCTGTATGTCAGGGAGGAAGTGAGGGGTAAAGTGGTAAAGATGAGATGGATTCTTTCCCTGTGATTTTGGGGTTCTATTTTTTAATGTCTAAATGAATCTGCCTGTGATAGCACTTTGTGTTTATATTGTAGCTTGTAATTGACTGAGTAATCCCACCTCACCTTCCTTCCTAGACCTTGAAATAGGGCAGGAGGTGCAGACCCTGAAGCGAGTTAAGCCAGGGAACTCTTGACTCCTGTCTAAGGAACAGAGAGGGAGCAGGGCTGAGCTCCAGCCTGTCCCAGTGCACTGCTGTGGCCACCATCATGGTGGACAGGTTAGCTCTGCAGCGAGGAGGGCCCTAAAACAGCAGGTGGCCAGGGGCAGGGGTCACCGTCTCTTGGCTCCAGATTAGTGCCCTGACAGGGAAAGCTCAGGGAAGCTGTTACACAGCGGTAACTGTTTCAAGCCAGAAGCGCCTGAGAACGTTAAAGCAAGAGGTTAAAAGCCCGGCGAGAAGCAGGAGTGCTTGCTTCCTCTCCTTACTTGCGGTGGGAGGGAGAAACCATGGTGAAGGCGGCAGGCACCACCTGATGACAGAGCGGGGGACCATTGTGCACCCCAACCTGGTACACTCAGCTGCAGTAGCCACCACGCTCTGGGGCTCCCCAGAGTGCATGGCTGTGTCCAGTCACAGGCCAGCCTCAGGCAGGTGCAGCCCGTGAGAACCTGCAGAGACAGGGGACCCTCCTAGACAGAGGGGACGTGACAGCTCAGAGCACTGTGGGCCAGACGCAGCCCTGCAGGAAAGGGAAGAGTGGGGGAGGGCAGTGACACACAAGGTTTGCAGTTGAGCGCGGCATCCGTGGTCACCTGGGTTTGGTCTGAGACATTGCCACAGGTCCACCTGGGAAGAGCGGGGGACTTTCCTGGATATACTTTTCTCAGTAGATGCAGTGTGAGGACCAAGGGCCCTCGGGCCTGGTTTCCACATCCTGTGTGAGTCAGAGTGGCTGCCTTGGGCAAAAACGGGGAAGATCAAGGGGCTCCCAATTCCCATGGTGCAGGCTGCACCCACTTCCTGTTGGATACCAGACCTTGAGCGAGGTGTGCAGGGCGCTGTGCACCACAGTGTCTGCAGGTCCTGTCCATCCTGTGTGTCCCTCACTGCAAGGAGGTTCTCATGGTCGGAAGCACCACGTTAGTTCCCTGGGAGCCTCAGAGACTTAGGAACAGGACATGCAGACCTGGAAGAAGGGTCCATTCCTGGGGCACAGTCACCATACAACACAGTGCTGTTGCCTCTGTGTTTGTGTCCACAGGCTGGGTACTAATTCACCTTCCTAAGTCTGGAGCCCTCGGTAGAGCTCGGCCCCTCACAGCCTTGCCACCTGGCTTCTCCATCCGCCCAGCAGCCTACCTGTCTCAGGCTGTTGTCAGTTAGTGTCCTTTCCTGTCCTCCCACCCCTAAGCCCCATCCCATCCAGACCAGCTGCCCTGGGCAGTGACCTGGCGTTTTACCCCGATGGAGTATTTTCCCAGCACTGTGCCAGGGAGGCAGCGGTGGGGTTGCTGCCCCTTCAGGTGTGCGTGTCCAGCAGCTGACTGCGCTCGGTCCCAGGAGCTCCATGTGGCCACAGGTGTGGGCTGGGCAGAACCCTATGTCCCACCTGGGACACACATCTGGTTCCAGCTGTGCCCCCACCACCAGCCCTTCTGACCCCTGGGCCTGGGCACAGTAGGCCTCAGCTCATGGTAGGTGTTTCTCAAGTGTGGTCACTGTGTCCATGATCACTGGCTCAAGCTCCGGAGAGCACATTTAGTCCGCAGCACAGTTCCCCATGGCGTCTTGTCCCATCCCCCCCTGCCCAGTCAGCCACCGTACTCCTGCATTCCAGCTCTACCTGGCCTGCACCCCACTTTCCCCTGCTTCCTCAAGTAGGGTCACACAATCCCCAGGAGCCCTGCCAGGGCACAATTCGGTGTCTCCCACTGAGTCGCCTCTCCTGTCCAGACTGCCTGGGCCCTGGGTCCCATGAGTCTTCCCACGGGCTCCTCCACACCTGCTGGCCTGGCCTGTGGTCCCTTTGGGAAAGGAGGGGATGCTGGGACAGGAAATGGGACAGATGTTGGGGAGCAGTTTTCTAGAGAGACAAGTCCATATTGTCTTCAGCAAGGGAGCGGCATTTGTTCAGTAGGGAATTGGGGGGCATTTCCAGAATACACGATGAGGAGTCTGAGGTTCAGAATTTGGGGTGTCCACCCAGAAATCCTCGTGACGAGTCCCACCCCTCGTTGTGCAGCCTCAGCTCTGTCTGGAGGTGGACCACTCTGGCAAGGGCTGGGTCTTAGCAAGGTGCTTGGCCTTGATGCCGGGGGTGCCCTTTGCCCCATGTGGGATTCTACTTGCCAGCAAGCCGAGAGCTCCCCACCTCAGTCACCCGCTCGCCTTCTTTCCACTCCCTTTCAAGTTAGCTTCGGTGCTCGCCGAGGTGGACCTTGGCAAGTGAGGCTTGGTGAATTCAGTGTCGCCCTTGGTGGAAGGGTAGGGACACCGCAGGCTTGGGCAGAGATGAAGCTGGGCGGCTATGGCAAGGCCTTTTCCAACCCCCAGGAGCTCCAAGCCTATGGCCACTGCACCTGGCTCTTGGGCCCTGAGGCCACGGGAGCGACAGCTTGGGGTCTCTGTTGTCTGCACTCCTGGCAGCTGGGCAGCAAGGGTGTCCCAGCTGTGACATCCGTGTGCAGCCTGAGCCACACTCCCTCCAGGGAGAGCCGAGGGGCTGCATCTGTACCCATCTGTCCAGCCCACCCAGAGGCACCAGCTGACTGACTCCAGGGTGTAGACAGTGCCCCCGAAATGCCTAAAGTTCCTCCTGAGTCACTGCTCCAAGCAGGCTGCTCCCTAACAGTCCCTGCTGACTGGCAGGAAAGAACCACGGTGGCAAGGACACGTTAGGCTCACTTTGAGTTACTTCTTAGAGCGTTTGCTTTCTGCCTGCCTTGTGGGGTCAAGGCAGACTTCTGGGGGTGCCAGGCCCAGAGGAGGGCGGGCAGGCCTGGGGAAGCGATAAATGAGCTTCCTCAGGGCTCCAGGAAAAGGGCACCGAGAAGTGGAGCCCTTGGGCCTAGTGCACTCTGCAGAGGAGTCCTCACTGGCCGGAGCCACTGCAGAAAAACTCCTGCTGCTTGGTCAGTTGTGTCCCCTATAGACAAGTCCTGGGTCCTGCGTTGCGGCAATGTCCAGAGACATTTTTTGGTTGTCACAGCTGAGTAGGCACTGGTCAATAGGGGCTGGGTGCTGCTGGCTGTCTACCCACACCCAGCACAGTGCCCCTGCCCCAAATCTACCTGGGTAGGAGCCCAGGGCTCCTACCAGGGCCAGCTCACGCTGCACACCGCGAAAACCCAGCCCTCATTGTGCAGTGTTGGACTGAACAGATCCTTTAGGCAGAAGGTGCGTGTGCACCGGGGGCTGCGGCAGCCCTCAGCAGCCACTTCCTTTCATGAGCTTCTGGTGTCTGCACTTGGCGCAGCCTGAGGCAAACTTGGGACGGGTTTGTCTGTGCCTCTGGCATGTGAGCTCCGCCAGGGGGTATGGCAAGGGACCAGAGGATGAAAGAATGGGTGAGGCCCCTTCTCTGGGAGCCTCCTGCAGGGGGTGCTGCGGCAGGAAGCACTGTAGAAGCACGTCCTTAGCTCAGGAGTGGCTGTCCAGGGCCCCTCCCTGGCCACAGGAGACAGTATTCCTGAGTGTCTTCTGTGTCAGGTCCCCCCTGGACCTCTGAGGGTGCCTCAGCTGAGGTAGCACAAAGGACAGCCCAGGTGACAAGCACAGGCCTCCTGTAAGCTGGGGGGCTCTGAGAGCCAGGCTGGGGTGCTCCCCCTCCACACACATCAGGGGTCTTTGTGGATTGTCTGCCTTTAGTCCTCTGCAGGTCAGCAGCTTGAGTGAAGTTTAAAACCTCCCATTTTAAGACTGCTAAAAAGGAAGTGGGAAGCACTCCCCCAGGTTGAGCCCATTCCCACTCATGTGACCAGGGAAGTATTTTTTTCCATAAGTTGCTGGGTTTTGTTCTTGTTTTGATGACTATCGTATAAATCAAGTCTCTGCCTGGGTTTGCGTAGGAACACGTTAACAGTGACCTCAAGCGAGTGCTGTCCCTCACACTCGTGGTGAAGGCAGAGGCGCCCGCCCTCCGTGTTCTGCATACCGGATGTCTGCAGGGGGCTGTCGGACCACTGGGGTGCGGTCCTGGCTGTGGGCTGGAGGCAGGCAGAGGCAGCTGGGAGGGAAGGGCAGTCTGCTGGCCCAGCTGCAGAACCAGGCAGAGGCCTGGCCGGGAGCAGTGGGTGGCTTCTGGATGCCCTACAGGGAACAGAAAGGGACATGTAGGAAGTGACAGCAGAACAGGAGGCCCCGTAGGGCAGCAAGGAGGAAGTCCTCAAGGCTTGCTCTTCTGGGCTGTGGCTCACGTTGGCCTTGAGGTTGCACCCCTCACGCTCAGCTGGGGCTCACTTGTGGCAGTGTCTTCTCCATCTTGAGGATGAGATGCGACCCAGGGAGGGAAACCACGGTTGCCCCGGCAGCCTGGCCTTGGGACCCTGCCTGCCACCCTTCCCACTGCGTCAGAATCATCGGTCGCAGCTGCCCAGCACCACTGAGTCCATCTCAGGCCGTGGCTCATCTGTGGACCGTCCTCTCTCTGGGATGGGCTGGTGACCTGCCTAGGGCAAGAGAGCAGAACACGCCAGATGCTTCTTCACTGTTTTATCCAGGGTGACTCACAAGGTAGCCACACTTGGGGTGACAGCCAGTCACACAGTGCCCTGTGGCCATGGTCCTTCTCGTCAGTGCTCAGGCAACTGTGGGGCCTTTTGGAGAACGCATCCCCTCCAGAAGGGGGCCATCCGCGTGTCAGCAGCTCAGAGCCAGGTCTTCAGGGCCTTGGGAGCCTTTGGAAGGCTTGGTCTCTTGAGGGAAGCCAGACAGGAAATGGTTGCCCTGGGCCACACACTCTCCCCTTGCACCCCCCCCCCACGGTATCTGAGCCTAGCATTTGTGTGGCGTGAATCCCTATAGGTTTTGCTGAGCCTGAAAAGTGACTTTGTACCCAGCACACAGGTTAGGTCAGTTTTGCATGTCTATCCACACACACGACTTCTTTAAAAATCCAAAGCACATTTGCTTACCCCATTGAGTGCAGCAAAGTGATCATCAGACTGGTCCACACAGCAGTTCGGGACACGCATGGTCCTGGTCAGTTTCTCTTCTGCAGTGCTCAGGTGGCCTCCAGGGCAGCAGCAGCAGCATTCACTGCCATGTGAGTGCTGTCTCTGTACTGACAGCAAGTCTGCTGGGCCCAGCTGTTGTGGTTCCGTGCCCAGCTGCCCTTGCATGCAGCCACCTGCAGGACTGTGTGGGTTTTTTCCTTTTTTGTGCTTTTGGGTTTTTGTTGTTGTTGTTGTTGTTTTGTTTTGTTTTTTGTACCAGGGCTTGAACTTACGACCTCGTACTTGCCAGGCAGGGGCTTGTGCCGCTAAACTAAACTCCAGACCTGTGTTGCTATTTTAAATGAGCTCAAGAGCAGGATAGACTGGCGCTATTCCGGAGGAAAGGATCTATGCCTGTAACCTTGCAGCCGAAAGTCTTTTGTCATCCAGATTTTTTTCAAGTCCGTGTGATTCTGTGTTCCGTGTAAAGTCAGCCCGTTTTCCCTGCAAAGCTTGATTGCGCTCTGTTCCATCTGCCCATTTGACTGTGCTCGGCGTGTGCTTTATTCTTAATGGCCACTAGAGGGCGTGTGGCAGGGCCCAGCTTTCTCACACTGGGGCTCTTTGGCATTTTGAAGGATGAGTTTGGGACAGTCTTCCCTGCCTGCTTCCCTCTCCTGTTTCACATCACGTCCAATGGGCTCTTCTTCCTTTCAGGCAAATGAGATGCTGCTCAGTGGGCGGAAACTGACGGCGCAGGAGGCGTGCGGCAAGGGCCTTGTCTCCCAGGTGTTCTGGCCAGGGACCTTCACCCAGGAAGTCATGGTTCGCATCAAGGAACTCGCCTCGTGTAACCCAGTTGTACGTCTCTTCCGTGTTCCTTTATATGTGTCTCGCCTCTTTCTCATCAAGCTCACAACTCAGGCAGTATTTCCCAGCTCTTCTGCATGAGTTCTTTTAAAGTTGAGAATTTGTCCAACATTTGGTGGAATATAGTCATCCTTCGGAATCCACTGGGTACTGGGTCCAGGGAAAAAACACCCACAGATCCCAAAATCCACGGGCATTCAGTCCCTTGTGCAGAGTGCCTAGGACTTGTGTTCTATGCACGTCTCCTCATATGTTGCCAACGATCTGTGGATAGCCTGGCATGCAAGGTAACTGCCATGAAAGTCGTGGTTACACTGTGTTTTTACGGAATAAAGGCAGGGGAAGCGGGGAGTCTGCACGTGTTCCATGCAGGCCCAGTGTTTTGTTGGGTATTTGCCCCAAGGTTGGCTGAACCCAGGGATGTGGGACTCACAGGTATGGGCGGCCAGCTCTACCGTAAGTGCCCGTTAGGCCCCGGAGCGGGGGCCGGGGAGCACAGCTTGTTGACGCCGCTTGTCTCCTGCCGCAGGTGCTGGAGGAGTCCAAGGCCCTGGTGCGCTGCAACATGAAGCTGGAACTGGAGCAGGCCAACGAGCGCGAGTGCGAGGTGCTGAAGAAGATCTGGGGCTCGGCCCAGGGCATGGACTCCATGTTAAAGTACTTGCAGAGGAAAATCGATGAGTTCTGACGGGTGGCTCGCGGGTGCCACCGTCCATCCTCACAGCCCGAGCGAGACATGTCCACCCGTAGCTCTTTCTTGGCAGCAGGACTGGAAACATCCAAGCTATTTATTTCCAAGGAGTTTTTAAGTCCTGTACCTTTCAAATAAATAACTACAAAGCTCTTTTGTCCAAACATTATTTTATACTGCTCCACACACATGTAGAAAAGTGGATGGTGGCACGAGCCTGCCCCTGGAAGCGCTCAGTGTTTTGTTTCCTTTGGCTAGTACTGTCTAAAAAAAAACTGTTTGGTTTGTCTGGGTGACCGGAAAGTCTTCGATGATGTTTGTTTTCCTCATTCTTCCCTCCTAGAAAGGGGCTGGAGCCAGCCTCGCCTCCTCTCCCCCCAGAAAGGTGCAGAGCACCGGGAGCCCCTCGTCTCCACGGAGGCAGTGGGGATCCTGCAGAGGCAGAAATTAAATCAAGCAGAACGTACCTGCCGGGAAGGGCTTCCTGGGACAGGCTCAGCAAGCACTTAGGGTTCACGCTGGGGTATCCGCGGGTTCTCCCCTCTCCCAGCAGTCCAGTTTCACTGTCTCTGTCTCTGGGAGAAAGCCTGTTTTGCAGTATTAGAGAGTCACTGACTAGGTGGAGAATGAGTACCTAAGTTATAAGTTAGACTTAGCGGGTTTTACATAGTTTCTCTGACCCTTTCAAAAAATAACTCCATTAAGTGCTTCTTGTTGCTGGGTGAGAAATACTACTATCTATACAGTTTCAGTTTTCTGTCTGCAGATGTGATTGATGTACTACACCAAAAGAAAAGTATTTTTATGTTTATTAAGTGTAATTTTTAGGTTCACTTAGAATATATTTTATTTAATAAGTTAAAATTCTTTTTGGCACACTATTAAATACAAAAACTCCTTTCCAAATAAAAAGAACTACCTTGTATTCGACACTTCCTGTCCTCCATCCCGCTCCTCTGTGTGGGTGGCACGGGTCCGAGAGCGCCCCCTGCAGGAGTGGGGCTGATTCCTGACCACGGGCACCGGTGAGCAGCTGGGCTTCTGGGGTTGCAATTATATTGAATGTATGAAGACTGAAATAAAATCAGAACCTTATTTTTGTACAGTTTTGAAGTTTATACTTAGAACTGACCACCTCCTGGCCACGCGGAGAGCTGTACAGTGTGTAAATCTGCCTTTACCTTGGATTGATTGGTACAGTATTTTTGCATCTGTGGGACCTACTTTTATGTTCAGTAGTTTGAAACTATATATAAACTGTACAATCTGTAAAGTTTTTATAGAATAAATATTCAGCTGTGAAAACTGGTTAAATAAACTAATATTTCTTAACACCTTGGAAATGTTTCTCTGATTAATTCTTCACTTGGGAGATTTCTCATGGGGCATTGTACATTTCCTGTGAAATACACGGTTCCCCCTACAACCTCCATGCAGTTTAAGAAAACAAACACATTAGCGTGTGTACCCTGACCACCTTGAGTCCGTCAAACCACATCTACCACACTTCTGTTTCAGAGAAAAAAAACCCTGAAATACCTTGTTCTCCCCTCTTGTTACCTTTTATCAAACCACATATGTTCCTTTGATTTGCTTCTTGGTATCTGAGGAAATTTTATCTTATGAAATTGTAACTTCTATACCCAGACGTACAGCATATTTTCATTCTGGTCCTAGAGATGAAGGATTATTGACCAGGGTCCCATAGGTGACAGACCAGAGTAGGGTGACCTGAGATTCCAGACCTGGTGAGCCAGGCCTGTTTCTGGCCACTATACCTGATGTCTTTCCCGGAACCGACGTAAGCTAATGCAGTGAGTTCTCCACACGGCCTGGACTTTGCCTGACCCGGGCGTAATGACCACACCTCCTCCCTAAAGCAAATCGCTCAGCTTCTGAGTGGAGAATCTGGCCCAAGTAGGAAGAGCATCAGCAACACCAGTGAAGTTGCTGGCACTCACTCCCGCTGTTGGTGAGGGCAGGAGAAAATGCTATCCTCTGTGTTGACAGATCTAAATTGGTAATAAACCTAGACCTAGCAGCTCCATTTGTAAGCAATGAAATCCTACAGGAAGCAGGAAAGTAAAGGTGCACGTGCCATTTGAGTTACCTGGGTATTTCTACAACAGTGAAAAGTTGGAATCAGCATGTGTCCATCAATAGAGTTTTGATTAATCACAAATGGTCCCCCATTTAAAATGGCTCCATGTTATTTTTCAACGGCATTTAAATATATTCAGGAGGAGCCACTTGAAATTTGGTAAGCTAACCCCACGTGGCTTGGTCTTGCTGGGTAGTGACCATGAGTGACAGCTCCCTCCCAGCCCCACTGTCACATGGGTGTTAGAGCCGTTGAAGCTGAATACATGTGCGAGGCTGTGATATGGCCCAGGCTGGCTGAACTGAGAAGAGACACCTCGGGGCAAGATAGGCCACAGCTGAGGCCACCTGGAGACTTTCTTGGGTGGTTTTCCTTAATCAGCATCGTCTTGCTTGGAGGGGTCCTTGAGCCCCTCCCAAGATCCTGCTCAGGTTTCCTCCCCTGTCCACTCAGCTCCTTGCTTGTTCTGATTAAATACCGGCTGGGCTCTGCCAAAGATTGCAGTCCTGCACCCCTAAAGACCATACTGCTGGTCTCATTCCTTAGCCTTTGCGGGCCTAGGATCTACACACACCGGTGTCCCCCAACACCTGGGGACAGCACGGGCCCTGCAGTGTGTTGTGCTGTGGAGCGTGGCAGGTCAGGTGTGCTGGCTGCATGCTAGACTGTGAGATTTTCAATTTCACCATAAGGTTTGCAAGTCAGACCCCCATGCTAAGTCAGAGTGTAGCTGCATATGACAGCCACCTGGGCATACACTAAGAGACAAGGGCACATTATGAAAAATCAAAAATGCCTTCTTCACAAGGCTTCCAAATAGCCCACAGAAAGACTCACTGGGTTTCTAGGTGCATCCCAGCACTGGGCTTCGGGCTGCACAGCTAGAGAATCAGCTTGGTCACCTGTGGTCACTGTTGGCCTCTGTCCCCTGCTGTGCTCCCTGGACAGTGGCCTTGCAGCATGTGCTGCCTCTGCTCCACTCTCGCACATGGCCCACGCAGTTCTTTCAAGAATACTCATTGCTAAAGCTTCAGTCTGAGTGTCCCCCAAAGCCCACATGCTAAGGGCTTAGTCTCCGGGGTGGCACTTTGGGTGCAGAATGGGACCTTTAGAAGGGGGTTCTACAAGGAGGTCCTAGGATCACTTGAGTGCCCCTGAAGAGAAAGGGGGACCCTGGCCCTCTCCCCCTTGTGCATTTGCCATCACACGTGCTCTGCACCGGCCTCAGTCACAGACACAAACATGGACGTGGACCCAGCCATGGATACAGACACAGCTATCCACATGGACGCGGCCACAGATGGACATGGGTAGCCCTAGACAGAGGCAGAGATGTAGTCACAGACACTAACAGGTACAGATACGCAGGGCCTCCATCCAAATTTTCACTTAAAATAGTTTATTTTCTGCATTTAGTTAACCCTTCCCTACAGGATTAAACACACACATGATTTTATGCCCAAGCAATGGAGCTCTATGCACCCCATACAAAGCAACACTAGTGAGCGGAAAGAGAAGGAGGAGGAGAAAGAACATCAGTCTGTCCCATTTTTCAGATGACAAAACTAAGACCTGGGTCATGTAGTTTTTCTGGGGACGTCACATTGTAAGGCCGGAGTAGGGATTTGACACAGCAACCAAGTCTCACACGAGAGCATTGTTTCCTTCATTGTCCAGTGGGATCCTGGTACCGTAAGGGTGGGGGTGGAGGAACAGAAACACGCTTGGGTTTCCGCTTCTCTGACATTGAGCAAATGTGACATGTCTTGCTTTGTGAACTTTAGCAGTAATTGTAGATGCGTCCCTGGTATCCTTGTGTGCTCTCTAGGTATTCTTGTGGTCCAAACTCGCTGTGAAGCATAGTTTCTGATAGAAGTCAATACTTCTTAAAATCTTTTCTTACAGAAACTGTTGATGCTCATTATCTTAAACTTGGAAATAAAATTCAGATGGAGTACACCTCATGCCTCTGGATTCGACGTTGGCTTGTGGCATTACTAAAGAGCCCCAGGGTAGCCCGGGTGCTGAGGGTGTGACTCTGAGAAACTTACCTTCCAAATAAGTGGCTCTTGGTGTTTTAATTTAACCTTTGGTGGAATGTGTCTTGTCCGCATCTCAAGAAACATAACCCAGTTTCCCAAAGGGGACCTTGCCAGTGTACCTGAATCCTATCACCCAGAGACAGGAAATCCGGTTTGTCCTCAGCCTTGCTGCAGGCGGGCCTTTGTGCGCTGATGATGGCATCACTGTGTCAGAGGTGTCCCCCCTCCTGTGGCCTTGTTCTGTTTCCTGGTACCTATGAGGTGGAAGTCTCCCTCATTGATAGGTACTGAGAGCTTTCCATCCCACACAGCAGGATGCCAAGCAAGCGACAGGAAGACTTTCCCAGTGCCTTATTTGCAGATAAGAGAGAGGTGGCAATCTTTTTTTTTTTTTTTTTGGTCTTTTTCCTTTTCAAGGGATTGAACTCACGACTGCCTGCTTGCAAAGCAGGCGCTTATGCTGCTGAGCTAAATCCCCAGCCCCAAAGTGGCAATTTTTGATACAAAAAAAAAAAATCCCTTTGCCGACCTTATCCCCTGGGCAGCTGTGAGCCTTTTGCTGACCCTCTTTCACTCTGCAAAGTGGATTCCTTTTCTGTCCTCCACACAGGTACACTTTTGCTGCCCTTTCTGTGTCTTGTCCAACTAACTCTTTGTTAGAGACCAAGAACCTAGAACGAAGCCCCACAGGACCCCATCCTGCAACAGAACCACTAAGACGACTTAAAAAATATGGCCCGGAAGTCAAATCAGCAACACTTGCTGGTTGATGGGTTAGGGTAGAAAAAAAGAGTCCTAATTTACAGGTGCGTGGTATGCAAAAGCAAAACAGACATTTCGGGGAACAGCACAGGATGGGGGACAACAGGGTGGTACAGGGGAATTACCCACCCCGTCCTGGCCCGGCCGGGTTGGACACGCCAAACCGAACACAGCCGGGTTGACTGCAGCCCAAGGCACTCGTGTGAGGCTCAGGTAGGGGAACCCTGTGCTTGCATAGGTGAAACTGAGGCAGGAGGAGAGGGTGTGGCCAAGACAGGTCCAGAAATAAAGCAGGAGAGACTTCTAGAACTAACATCTAGAGGGACAGTGAGGCTGAACCCTTACCCATGCTAGCCAAATGCTCTACCCCTGAGCTCAAAACCCCACCCTCCACCCCATGACCTACGTACACATCAAACAATGCACAAAAATTGGGTTGAATTGTAAATCTTGTGTTTCACGGTTTACCACAATTTAAATAAACTGTTTTAAAGAAGATTTTTCCATAGAGTCAGTTTTTCTCCTTGACATTCGTACGTGAACTGGAAACAAAATGTAATGTTCTTGATCAGCACAGTGTCCTCTGAAAAACCATCTGGAGTAGCTCTCCCTTGAGTAGTAGTCTACACAGTAGACCTTTCCAAAGCACAAAAATAAGTGTCAAGGAGTTTGGACCTCAGCAAGACAATCTTTTCAACCAACAATTCCATTCAACTGCCGTGGCAGGGAGGAAGATTTCCTTGCATCACTGCTTTGGATTTGTGCCTGCTTTGCCTCTAAGAAATGCGATCTTGTGTCCGAGGCAGACAGCTCAGTGTCAGCACCCAGCCCTGCGCTGGAAGTGGCCCATCTTGCCCTCTGTGGGTCCCCACGTGTCCTGATCTCCTTCCACGTGAATGGAAAATCGTTTCCATATGGTTGCCTCAGTGGTCCAAGTGCTTTGAAGAACATGGGATGGGGGAGAGGATTGTGATTCCAGAAAATTCTGAATGGAAACAGCACGGGCAGAACGGAATGGCTTTGCAAACTGCAGGGGCTTATTCACTGGCCGTCTTGGGTTTTGGCTGGCGTACCAGAAAATCTGCTGCTGAGGGAGCCAAAGAGAGCAGTGGAGAGCGAGAAGGAGGGCCAGGGAGGGCAAGAGGGTTGGGGAGCACCGAGCCCCAAAGCTGAGCCCTGGCTCTGCCGGCACCCCCAGCTCACAGCTGCGGGCCCCACTTGGCCTTGCCCTAGGAAGCTCGGCGTTCAGCAGCGGTCTGCTCAGTTCCATTTCCTGCTGAACTTGACCGTGTGTCATCCTGGCCCGGGGAAATCTGATGCCTGATTCCCTGAGCCCAGTTACTGCTTTTGGCTCGGGCGGCCTGGAGTGCTGGGGCCGCTTTTCAGGCACACCATAAACGTCTGTGTCATTTCTCAAATGGCCCAGCAGACAGCGCGG